GGGTTGTCATGACATGGATGATTTTCTGATTGTAGAAGAACAGGATGTTCATTTATTAGAGAATGCATTTTCTTGTTGTTTTGATGATTTTTACCCACAATCTATGATCATAGATTGTGAAAACCTTCATTATCCTGCTGTAAGTTTTAAATTCACCCATTTTACCGACGCCCATTTAACCGAGATCACACGGGTAACAATTTGCTATTAATATATATGCAATTAATAAAACCCTAACCCTATGTGATGTCGGTTAAATGGGCTGTAAGTAAAATGGGCACGGGTCGAGAAAACAAGATTCACCCGTAAGTCTTTGTATATGCTAAGTGTTATATTTATCATTTGATATTGAAATTTCTGGAAATATAGGAAACTTTTCCGCAAAAAATATCTAAACTTCGCAAAAAATTATTTGATTCTGCGTTGATATTAAGTGAAAATAATGAATCTCAAATATTTAAAAACGTAAGAATTGATTAAATATATATTTGAGTATAGTTCTATCATAATGTAACGCTTTTGAAATTTCTGTCTTCTGAAGGGTTTATTCCACATATGAAAGCAGTTTGGGAAGAAATTAATGCCAGTGGTAATTTTCTTTATTTTAAAGATTCAAAGACAATACAGCAGTGGAGCGCAATGGAGAGATTAGTTAATAGTTATAATGAAACTACGATAAAATCTTTCGAAGAAAATGGATTAAAATTGATAGAAGAACAAACAAATAAAGGACAATGGAATGATATTGCTTTTGAAACTTATCTTACGCAAGAATCGGAAAATTTTTGTACCGAAACGATTACTAATTTTATAGAAAAAGTTTCTAGTCAATATGAGGCACAAATAATTGATGAGGGTGAAACCCATATAAAAGCAGCATTTTCTTCTAAAAAGCAAGAGCTTAAAGTAATATATGTAAAAAAGCAACGGCAATTTAAAGAATCTTGGCTAATAAAATCAGCAGAAATGCGAATTGGTGAGACGATTGGGAATATTCTTAGAGAGCACAAAGATAAAACGCCTGATGAATTTAAAAACTATTTTTCCGAGTCGAAATGTAAAGAATTATTTAATGAAGAATGGGAAAAGGTAGAAAATGATAAAGAAAATTTTGTATGCGCTATGATAAAAGAAGGAAACATGCTGGAAAAACATGTAGTTGATTCTTTTAATCGGCTATAACAATTGAACGTGCGCGAAATAACAATAGTAACAACGAGAGCAATTCAGGGGAAAGATTAAAGATTGACAAAATTTTTTGGAATCATGTCTTAACACCAAAAACTTTAAATCAAGTGGAATTTTTAGATGATACCGATAAGAAGTTTACTGACAGTATTAAAATAAAAGACAATAATATTGGTGTTACAATTATAAATGTGCTTTGCCAAAATAATGCAGAAAAGAATGACTTTAAGAAAACAGTTATAAATAAGCTTAAAACTGAAATTGAAGACACATGTAAACAAATACATGACGACATTTTGTCCCGAAATGTTCTTGCAATTGAATTTGATCAAGCTTTAGAGTGGCTTAAAACATTGTGCGATAATATTTTTATCGTGCAAAATGGTTTTAATGGTTTAAAAAATCAGTTCAAGGTTCAAATTGAAAATTTTAGCTCAATGGAGGTAAATAATTACAATATCATGTTATTAATGCCATAAATTCTTGAAATAGCAACAAAGGTGTAATTTCGAAATTTGTCAGAATTAACTTAATTCGGGTCATAGGCCCAAATAAATTCATATCGCTATTTTGAGAGTTTACGCTAATGTATAATTTACCTAATTTTATTAATATATAAATATTTTTTAAGCAATATTTACGCTTCAAAGTTTTTACTGCATTAAAGAATAGTACCATGAAATGGAAATCCTTGCAACAAAAAAACCTCAATAATCTTCGTGAAAACTTGTCAAAATATTTTTATAATATACTAAGTAATTCTTCTTACGAAAATATTGCCATTCATTTTTTCGAATATATTGCCAAATCAGTCGAAAATCAATTGGTTATCCAAGAAAAATACATATCAAAAGTGTTAGAAATGGATTTGAAGCAGAATTGGATGAACAAAGAAAGAAACCTTACACGCTATGCTTACGAACAAAGTTTCGGTGTATATGATGTTGAAAAAACTCGTAAATATATCAATGATCCAACATCATTTATGAAAGAACTATTTAAAATCAAATTGATACAATTAAAGATATAAAAGTTAAAGAAAGATTTGAAAAAATAGAAAAAGCTGTCAACGATGCTTTAGAAAAACTTGGCGGAGTCATATCAATTTGTCATCAACATTTTTTAGGATCAACAGATAAAAATTTGCCATTTGAAAAAATTATTTCGAATAATAGAATCAAAAATACTAGTGAAATTGATTTCAAAAAATTTAGTTTTACTTTACCAGCATCTTTAAATGAGACTATATGCCCAGAAAGTTTAATGGAGGATGCAATATATGTTCTTGGAAAATGTATTATTAGCACCCCTCAAGATTTCTGCATTATACTAAAAGAATACTATAATAAATACGTACAAGAATTTAATACACTATGGAGATCTCAACGTGCGGATCTTTGTAAAAAATCATTAATAGACTGTATAGAAAACTCTAAAAACTGTATAGAAAACTCTAAAAACTGTATAGAAAACTCTAAAAAATCGTATTGGAATAAGGTTAAAGGATGTCGACATAGATGTCCATATTGCGGGTAAGTTGTAAGTTATGTGAGAATCTTTTTGAGAATCTATTATAAAAGTAATTAACATTTTTAAAATTTTATAGATCAAAATGTGAATTATCAGAACATGAGCCCAACACAAATCACAGAGCATCAATTCATTTGATGAAGTGTTTTGGTGGTGTTAGGAAACTTAAAACACGAGAAGCAAGTTTAAAAATATGTAATGAGCCTGAAAGTTTTGATATTAAATTTAAGATTTTTTCCGATAAAGATTATATTATGTGGAAAGAATATTTAAAAGTTAATCATCCGGAATGGTGGCAACTTTATGAGCGAAAAGAGCCTGACGAAGATCAAATAAAACAAGCCAGAGCTATGTGGATGCATTTAAAGACGGAATTATGCAGCAAATATAATATGGTAGATAATACACCCGAAAATTGGCATAAAGATTATGCTCATCTTGCTAAAAAATGATAGATTCATGTAACCGAAATTTGATTTTTTATAATAGTTTTCAAGATATTCTTTTTATTTTTATTTTCTGTTAATAAACACTTATATGAGAGTTGAAATACTGATATGGTTATTTAATGATTTATATATACCCAAATTTTAGGTTACATGATGTATTTTTTAATAAAGAAAGTAATTTTATCTAACGAATAAATGTTTTTTTCATTATCAATTGGAAATTTAAGTTCATTTTATTGAACATTACGGCACGTTTGTCAAATTTAACTAATTTTTTGTCCCCAAATTTAAGTTTTGGGAATAACAATGCGTCTAACCCATTTTCCCCACAGGTTAACCCATCTTCCCACTCCTTGACGCATTTAATTAGACATATAAATTTATTATAATGACACACCTTAACCTGGGAAGCATTGACTATCTTAGCCAAAATTACTATTTATGTATCAACAGTCAAATTTTTCAAATTTTGGGGTATTTGACAAATGTGCTGTAATGATTTGGTTCTTTAATTACTAATTACACTTTGTAGAACTAACAAATTTGCAATATTTAGACTTCAAAAATGGCAAATATAATATATTAAACTATTTTTTTTAAACCCTAATTACTTTGTCAATACAGTCAGAAAATATACCATAAATGTACAGTGCTGATCACACCATTTATGGTAATAGAACGCTGATCTATTGGTCCCAGAAATTTCTTTATGTCAATCCAAGAATAATTACTAACCAATCAAATCAACTGAATAGAAAAAATTTTATTATTATGCAACTAGAATATTCCAAATCTTATTTACTTTTTTAATGGTTTATTTACTTTTTTAATGAGAGTTAACTAGAGTGGATTATTGTAGATTATTTAAACTACATGTTTTCTACTATCTATTAATGCTTTTATTTAGAAGTTTTAAGCAATAAATAAAACATGTAAAAAATTTTCTAAAACTGCTGGCAAGAAGTCGTACAAAAGCCAATCTGTGCAGATCATGGATTTTCTAATTTGACCTTATTTGCTATATTCCCTGACTGCAATATAATAAATTTTTAATTTTGTAAAATGTAAATAGTTTTTAAAAAATTATTTTGATAGTTATAGAAAGTTTTGTGCAATTAATAAAAACAAAAGGTTAATATATTAGAAACTATCATTTTTAAAACCTAACTACTTTTTAAAAAACTAAATTTTAATAAAATGCTTTAGTTTTTTAATAGCTATAAAAAATTTGTGCAATCACCAATAATTAAATCATTAAATTATAAGTATATATTAAGTTATAATAATAATGACTATAATTTGTATTTTGTATTTGGAACAATTTATGATAAAATTTAGATACTAAACATATTGTATAGTTATTCACCAACAATATGTTTAAGGCTTGTTTAACAAGCTTAATTTAAAATGCATGTTGATAAGAGTCAACAGATCGAAAAGACAGGGAGCATTAGGCAGGGGTCAGTTGACACGTGCTTGGCCGGTTACCTGCATCATAGATCAGTCAATAAATAAAATCAACATCAGATCATAATTCACGCAAAAGCAAAAAGACACATAGCATGTGCCCAACTCGTCCTGGTTACACACATCATGGATTGATCGGTAAATGAAGTCATTGACTGAACGAAAATTCATGCAAAATCGAAAAGCTACCAAAACATCAAATATAAAAAGGTTGTTGAGAAAGCCAATTCCACACACTCTTTCTCGCAAGAACCCAATTCATTTAACTTGCATTTTCTCAACTCAGCCCTGCCTATCACACACAGTAGAATAGTCTCCTGATTCTGCCATTTTCTATTTAACAGCCGACCTGCTTCGAGCAGACAGAAAACCACAGCTGATGCTGCTTCTCACTCACTCTACTGTTATGATGATACCTAACACAATCTCACTTGCTAATCTTCTGGGAGCATATCATTGTTTAGTTCAAATTACTTAAAATTATTAATAACTTAAAATAACCAATTCAATGTATTCTGTGGACTTAAAGTCCTTTAATTGAATTTATTTCCGGCACCTTTGGCTATTCCAAATTATTCCAAATACATGACCAAGCACACCTATGCTTTTCGAGCTATTAAAATAACTTTTAATATAAAAAGGTCAAAATTGCTTTTTTCGCATAGTAAATTTACCAAAGATGATATTTATGAAGGATATAAAAAAATCCAAACCCAGTCATCTCAAAAAGCACAAAATAATGTTAATGAATCATTGAGATAGATTTTGCAGCCCAATTATTTTATAATTTCTCGATACAATTCACTTTGAATGTCAAGGGCATACTTTAAATTTTGTGTAACTTAAAATAACCTTATCAACTTTTGTTGTTATTAGTTGAGGCTAGAGATGTGCTGTATGCATTATGCAGATAATGTCACATGCTGCATAATGCTGCATAATGTGATGCAAGATGCCTAAAATTTAAAAATTCACATAGAAGTTATTATGTAATTTTGATCCATGTCATTTCATCAATAATCACTTGTTTCTATCAAATTAATAGTCTGTGAAATCAATAAAAAATTAATCTATCAGGTCTGTTTCCACTATATAAATTTGATATTTTATGTTTTCGAATCCGATAACCTCTCAGTGATATACAAAGTATGTTCACTACATATCAGATATGGGTTTTGAGAGGTCCACAGCATATTATACAGAATTGCATAATGCATTATGGACATATTGTTACATTATGCAATGCAAAGCCAAAAAAAAACTTGCATTCGCACATCTCTAGTGTGTGTTGCAATGCATTCGCAATTCAAACAAGAATTTATCAAAAAAATTCTTTGTTCTTGGATTGTTATGGCGTGTCAATTATTATATGGAAATTAAACCAAAGGGAAAAATCTTGTAGAAGTATCACAATTAGAATGGAAAGATAAATTGAATATCTTGTATAGATATTTACATAGCAGAAACATTTTGCAACTTGAGTTGCAAAACACATATATTATTGATCTTGGACTTTGTAAAAAAGCAAAGAAGGGAAAATTTGGAGTTCTGCTATATATAGAACTAAAATTTGATGGGTCAGCTATACAGGGATAGTGATTTTCTGTAATTCACAGAACTAGAGATGGGTTTCATGCGTGCACATGATTCCTCAATCGTGTGCATTAATGTGCATTAGTGCTTGTACTTTAAGGTATTATAACTGGTTAACTGTTAGGTTATCCAGATAACCAGACTATAAAATTAACTATAGGTTATACAATTAGGATATCTGGTTAATTTAAGAGATAACCTAGGGTAATATAAGGTAAAGTATAGTCACAACAACAATATCTATATGTTGTATATCAAATTAATAACTGTATACAAGTTCATTTCATAGACAGACAGTATTTGCTGATAGCTCATTTCACCGATAAATTATTTTTCAAATTGCGCTAACCTTAGCGACATTGACTAAAAAATAATTTGTCTATGAAATGTACTGTTAGTGAAATATACTGTTTATGAATGAACTTGTCTGCAAATTAATCGACTGATATAAATAATCAGTTTTCCACATATGTTGCAGATTCATAGTTTTTTTAGCATTTTTATTTAATCCTATAATTGATTGGCCAATAATCTACACTGATAAACTAATCACATGATATCCTGATATAACCTAGGGTATAACCGTTATCCTTTTACTTCAATAGGATATAAAACTGGTTATTGAATTTTATTAAAGGGTATACCCTTTTGGATATAGAGTTATCCGGGTACGACTACTAATGTGCATTTATATGCATAATTTGGAATCATGTGCATTTTATCCCATCTAAATTTTATAAAGTATATTTAATTTAGGCCAAGGTGTATAATGCCAGTCAAAATTAAGAAAGAGGAATGCAGAAATTTTGAAAAATTCTGAAAAGAAAATGAATAAACATAAAGATAAGAAGGGTCAGGAAAAAATTTTTGGCAATTTTCCAGAAGGAAAATATAAAATTAAAAAAAATTATATCATGCGATACTATGTGCATTTTATATAACGTGTGCATTAATATACATTCATGTGCATGTTATTATAAAATGCGCATTTTTCACATCTCTAATACAGAACATCACAGAATTTTTCTTAATCGCAGCCAAATAAAGAAATTATGCTTAGTCAACACAGAATGTTACAGAATTTCAAAAAAATGGAGTTATGCACACTCACATGATTATTGACCAATCATAAAGAGACATTTATATGATTATAACAAAACTGCGAATTACTATATATTATTTAAAATCTCAACACCCTTTTCTTAAAAATATGATATTTTTAATAGTGAGTAATTTTTTTAATTTTATAATTAAAAAAAATGACCGTTACTATTATTCAAAAATTATTAGTTTATTTTTTTGTTTAAATATATGGTGGATTTATATTTTTGATGCATAATAAATAAATTAGTATATGAATAAACATTACAGATAGTAAATACATAATTTACAGGGTTGTATAGAATTTTTTAAAAAAATCATTAAATCACAGAATTTTGTTATTCCTACCACAGAATTGCACAAAATTTACGGAATTGCACAGAATTTTTTTTAAAAAAGTTATCACATTAAATCATAGAATTTATCCTAACCACATACAGAATTTAGCCTTAGCTATTACAGAAAATTACTGTTTCTGCATTAGATATTTACAGTCTTGGAGTTATTACAACAGAGATTTCAAACAAAGAGCACTTGATAGAGTTGTGTTTAAGGGAAGGGTCAGAAAATATGTGTTTTCTTTTAGGGGAAGGAGGTCTTTTCAAAAAACACGTCTATATATAGAAAAATAGAAAAGACAAGAAACCTAGAGGAGGGGGTAGTTTTGTCAAAATAAAAAACACGTGTTTTCTGGCCCTCCCCTAAGGATAATCTTGTATCAAAAATTATCAATTGATTAAGACCTAAATGTTTATAACCCGATTGTTATATTTAATTAGCTATGAAATGTATAGATAAAGATATTGATAAATATTTTCCTGTAGTAGAAATAATTGAAATAA